TCATCACACCGATTGGTCACTACCAATACAAGCGCCTACCATTTGGATTCATCACTGCCAGCAGCATATTCCAAGGGATCATCCAGCAGGTCCTCCATGATCTACCCCACACGTTTGCATACATCGACGACATCGTCATCGCTACGTATTCCACCTGGGAAGCTCATGCAGATCACGTTCGCGCCGTGCTTCAACGCTGTCGCGAGCATCAGGTCTTCCTTAAAAGAGAGAAAGTTCTGATATTCCTCCCCTCCCCTCCTCACTCCTTCTGCATGTTGAGAGCCGCGCTCTTCGCCGCTGCCATCGGTCACGCCATCGCCTTCCGGCTGTGCCCTGTATCAGGAGCAGGAGCGACCCGCCTTGCCAGCCGCGTGTGTGAGCAGCAGCGACTGAGACTGCAGAGCCTGAGGAGAAGCAGCGCCCTGGCTACCATGATGAGCATGCGGGGAGGAGGTGGAGGAGGGGGAGGAGGAGGAGGAGGAGGAGGAGGGCATACTGTTGAAGTCTACACCACGTCAGGGTGCAAGTATTGTGTGAAGGCGAAGAAGAGGATGAGGGAGGAGGGAGTACCCTACGAGGAGATCGACGTGAACGAGGACAAGGTGAGTGAAGTCACAACCGGCGCCATGCTCGGCTCACATGGGACCTGGCAGGGAGGGGGGACAGGTAGGAGTGAGATGTCGAGGAGGGCAGGAGGGCGGACGAGCGTCCCGCAGATCTTCGTGGCAGGAGAGCACGTTGGAGGATGCGACGACTTGTGCAGGGAGATGGAGGAAGGAACGTTCTTCAAGCGCCTCGAGGCCGCTGGGATCAAGTTGAAGGAGCCGGAGAGGAGGGAGGAGGAGGACGAGGACGAGGACGAGGGAGGAGGAGGACGAGGCGACTCTTCCCTCGTTCTCGGGCCTCAGGACGGAATCCTCAACTTCCACGTTCCTGCGGATCAGCTAGGGAAGACAAGTGTCGTTGAGTTGTCGAGCAACATCCAGAAGCTTGTCCTTGACATGTTCGACAAGTACTTGTCAGACGACGGGAGGTTTTGCAAGTCAGATGTCAACGCACATGTTCTCATATCACCGCAGGGCAATCAAGTATGCATCGTTGGCAAGGAGCAGAGAGTTCAGTGAGTACGTTCTGCAAGCAAGCAACCTCAGAAGACCCGGCTTGTTGGGCGAGATCGCGTCACTTACAACAGGTGACATCGTTAGCTGACTGGCGACATGTTACGTACAAGGAGTGATACCTTTACGTTTGCTGATATGTTGTGGTCTGTCACTATTTCTGATATTATTTCACGTCTGCTGATATCGTTTTCCTCCACTACTTCTGCTTGTTGAGTTTTCCCTTGCAGAGGAGCAGATGGCCGTGTTCTTGAACCTCTACAACAGCATGGTAGTGCATGGCACCCTTGCTGTTCCTCCCGGCCCGTCTGCTGCAGGTCTGCCTCCTCCTCTCCTCCTTGCCCTCCTCGTCCCTCCTCTCCTTCCTCCTCTCCCTCCTCTTCGTCCTCAATCTCTGCCCCCTTTCTTCCTTCCACCTTCTCGTCCCAACCCTCCCTCCCTCCGCCTGCTCTTGTTTGCGTCCTCCCCAGCTCCCTCGTCTCATTCAGCAGCAGAAGCGCGAGGGTCGTTCTTCTCGGGCAAGTCCGGAGTCATCTACAACATCGGTATGTACATGCTCCTTTAAGACTCTTATTTCACTTTCCTCACTCCTTCACGATGTCTGGGTGTGTACGTCTCTCTTCAGATCTAACAGCATCTCCCTCCTCCTGCCCCCCTCCTCTTCCTCCTCCTGCCCAACTCCTCCTCCTCCTCCTCCTCCTCCTCCTCCTCCTCCTCTTCCTCCTCCCCTGCATGTGAGCTGCTCAACCTCATCGTCACAGGCGGTCACAACTTCTCTCTTGATGACATCGAACATGCCGTTCTCCGCGGCTCTCCGTCGTGGGATGCGCGGAGCTTCAAAGAGGATGACCCGAGGTGAGGATGAGCAGAAGGAGGAGGAGACAGAGGGAGGAGGAGGAGCAGCAAGTGAAGGGGAGGAAGTGGAGGGCAGGAAATTCATGCTGCCATTTTGCAGGAGGGTCATCACAATTCCTCGAAGTCGGTTCGATCCTCGCATCCATTTTGCGTTGAATTGTGGAGCCAAGTAAGGAGTAGCTCCACCGATCAGATTCTTCTCTCCCTCCCTTCCTCCTTCGCTCCCTTTTGCAGGATCCTTCTCCTTCTTCCCTCCTCTCCTCTCCTCTCCTCTCCTCTCCTCTCCTCTCCTCTCCTCTCCTCTTCTCTCCTCTCCTCTCCTCTCCTCTCCTCTTCTCTCCTCTCCTCTCCTCTCCTCTCCTTTGATATCCTCACCCTGCCATCATTCTCTCAACGTTTGCTCAGGTCTTGTCCTCCCATCAAGCTCTATACAGCTCAGAATCTTGACAGGGGACTTGCGCTGGCTACTCAGGTAAGGCAAAACAACATGAATGGTGCTCACGAGGAGGGGAGATAGGGAGAGAAAAGTGTAAGGCAGCAGGGCAGGGCAGGATCGGACCGTGGACGAGGAGGACGAGGACGAGGACGAGGACGAGGAGGACAAAGAGGAGGACGAGGAGGAGAACGAGGAAGAGGAGGAAGAGGACGAGGACGAGGACGAGGTGGACGAAGAGGAGATGATTTGTCCTGCAGGCGTTTTGTGAGTCGGAGGTTCATGTCGACCTGACTTCTCGTTCCGTTCGCTTATCCAAGATCCTCTTCTGGTACTTTTGAAATCTGACAACACCCATCTCTTTCTCCTCCTCCTTCACCTCTCCTCCTTCATCTCTCCTCGTCCTTCACGCCTCCTGTCTTTCCCTCACCCTCAGATCAGGTACTGCAAGGACTTCACTCCCCAGCAGGATGACGATCATATCGCCATGCTCCGCACGGCAAGCGAGCATACCTCTCCTCCTCTCTACTCCATTCCTATCCTTCCCTCCCCTCCCCTCCCCTCCTCTCCTTTCCTCTCCCCTCCCCTCCTCTCCTCTCCTCTCCTCTCCTCTCCTCTCCTCTCCTCCTCCCCCCCGTCTTCTCCTCTTCTCTCCTCTCCTCTCTAAACTTCCACTCAGCTCACTTCGTTTCTTCCCACGGGGACCGAGCCAGCGTCTGCTCTAGAGCAGCTGCTGGCAGTGGCAGCTGCTGGGGACGAGGTGAGAAAGTTTTGAACTTCATCGTTTGACGCGGTTCAAGGTCTCAATTCAGTTCAGCGAGTACGACTGGTCACGGAACGAGGAGCAGTCGTGAGGTGACATGTTTCAGCTCAGTTTCGTTTCCCAGCGAAATCCTTTCTTGAAATATCAATTTAATCACAAAGATTTGAGTTGCCCCGTGTGGTTATTAGTCGTACAATACAAAATATCGATAGTCTCAGCGAGAGAGTCTTACGAAGGTTCACAAGAGTCTTCTAGATCAACTCTCTCCCTTGCTCTCCTTATTTCACAGCAATCAGCTCCAAGTGTACCATCGCATCTTTCTTCTCTTTTTCTGTTTTCTTTTCATCTGCTCTGTCCTCCTTCACATTCGTCTCAAATTTTTCCTGTCATCATGCAAGTCAGTCTCAATCAAACTTCTCCGTTATCTCCTACCTCTCCCTTGTGCGGTTCCCTCACAGGGCTCGAGAGGTCCAGGATCACTGCAGTAGAAGGCGAGAGGGAATAACGCATGTATCCCGAGTTGCTGTTGCCGTTGGGTGTTCGGGGAAGAACCTGTGAAATCATGATCAGCACTCTACCCCTCGTAAGCATGTCATAACTATCGTGTCTAATGTCACACCTGGCATTGGTCGCCGAGGATAGGCATAGCAGGCGAGATCGTGTTGCTGCCCAGCAAATGTTGTGAGAAATCGAGATTAGCATTTGCCTGGCAGGTAGTCAGCATCTCAAGTTCAGATCTCAGGCTCGCAAACCTGAGGTTGATCCATCGGAGTCAGAGGCAAGAGCTGATAATCTGCCCGCTGCGGAGTTTGCGGAGCTGATGCTAGGTATTTATCGGCAACCCTGTAGCTAACAACTGTCATTCATAGAAATGAAGAGAAATGAGGCACTTACAATGCTTCTTTCTTTGCTTCATCATACTCAACCTGTATCCAAGATTAAGATAAAGTCGATGAAGTAATGTCACTCGTTCAGACGAAATCTACCTGTTCTAGCGTCGATGGACTTCCAACAAGGTTGATTGGCAGCTCGGGCTTTACCTCCAAGGAAGTCAGATGTACAATGATGCAAATCTGAAAGCATACCTCAGGCAACAATGGCACAGTTCCAGGAATCCTTTTCTTTTTCAGTGGTAAACCATCGGCATCCTTAGGTTTGTTGTTCAGGCAATCCACACAGTCACATTTTGAGGAGCAGGCAACTCCATGCTCAAAGCATTCACAGTATCTGGAAAAAAGCCGTCACACTGGAGTCTTTGTGGTAGATCCAGTCAGATTACTTCTTGAGGCACTTGGAGTTTTTGCATTTGCATCCACGAACATGATGAATGGTATTGGCGTTGCTGGACTCAACATCTGGCTTGATTTTGGTTTCAAATGCAAGAGGGTCTGAGGTCTTGATGTGTTCAACAGCAGTTAGTCGTTCCTAATCGCTTCTGGTCATACATTGCATTTCAGTGTTCAAAGATGCATACCTTCTCATGCTTTCCATCATTGTAACAATCCACGCAATCGCATCCATCGCAGAGAACTCCAGCTCTGAAACATACACAGTACTGTCGGACGCATTTGCTCTTTTTACATTTACACAGTTTCGACGAATCCTTTGGAGGATGTTTCGATCTGGACTTCGCATTGATTGTAAACATTTCGTTATTCGATTCGCTTTCTGGCAACTCAGGCTGTGCAGCATTGTCTGGATTGGGATTTGAGACTGAATTTTCGCATTCTTCCTGCTTAGTAGATTTTTCTTTAGATTCGCTCTGTTCTTGTTCTTTGTCGGATTTTGAGCCATTAAAAGCAGCTTCTGATGTTTTGTTTCCAACTGACTTGTTCGTATTTACATTCTCGAGGTTTGGCACTAAACTGCGTTTGGTTGGAGCTGTCTTTGACTTCTTTTTCGAAGGGGGCTTCGATTCGAACTTTTCGTTGGTGCAATTCTTGAAACTGCCATACTTGCCTACCACAGTGATATGATCATCACCAAGTACATCCTTTTCTCCGAAGGACAGCATCTGCGATGTTTCAGGGCTGAACGAAACAGGCCCCCTGTCCAAAGAATCTTCTTCTTGCAGCAAATTTCTGCGACACTTTGGAGACCACCTGGGCTCTGGTGTCATGAAGGAAGAGTCCGAAGTGCTTTCAGGTGATCGCATGATTTTGTGCGGTGAGGAACCCCGACCCGGAGAGTTGTTTAGGAGTTGCGCAAAACCTCCAAAGGGCGAGGAAGGCGCGTGCAAGGAAGCATGGCTTCTCTTTTTCTCCGTCGAACAAATGTTTGGCAAGTTCGATGCGAATCCTGAAAAGGGTGAGATGGGGCTCGACTCGATGAAAGTGTAATCCATCTTCAAGGCCCTGCAAAACAGTCAAAAGCAACTCGCATCAGAACCACCAGGCATCTGCTAGTACCTTGAGAGTTGGTTGGGAGAAGTCATCATTTCAGACTCCGGGATGAGAGAGTTTGCAGGGTCAACAAAATCAAAGTTTTCTGACATTTCAGAATCCATTCTGTTTGTATGGCGATGCCTACGGCACCCTCGGAGATGCACTTCAATGCAAGAAAGTTTGAGCAGTGAACCAAGGTTGCAACCAATTCAAACAACTTGCATGCACTTGTTTCAAGATATTGAGTCCTGCAATCACACGTGAATTTTGGTTCGGCAGGACACGTGTTCAAGATGACCGAGTCACCAACAAGGAACAGGATGGGCACGAAGGGTAAGGAAAGAGAAGCATAGTGTCATACAAGCGCGTAGACCATGTTTTCAAACAATGCCTGATACCCAGTTTCATGTGATCGATACTTTGAAATGAAAAAGCAGCAAAGAATCACACCAGACTTCACATGGCCCCTAGAATGGTATCGCGTTCTTCTCAGACAACAAATAAACCACAACCATCGCAAGGAAGGACACATGTAGAGAGGTGGGATCGTCAAGTTCACGGGTCTTATATGAGTTCATGAGCTGATGGCAGGAGCCGCGGCAAACAGGAGCGTGAGAACCGAGAGGAGGGAGAGGGCGGAAGGGAGGCGGGGCATGGCGAGAGGGCGGGAAAGGAGGGGCTTTTGCGCGCGTTTGTGTTCGATATCCTTCCTAGCGATTGTCTCTAAAACATTGCAATAAACAATAAATATCTTGCTTTTAATATTCATATACTATAAACTTGAGATAAATTGTACTCATATCTGTGGTTCGTTTTTGGACTGGAGTAAATTCGAGATCCACCCCCACCCCCCTCTTTCCCTCGGTAAACCACCCCAGAACATCATGTTGCTGTAGTGGGTGGGGGTACTGTCGCCTTGTAATTTGACTGAGCCTGCCGCGTGTGCGGCGCGTCCCAGTCCCGGCCCTCAGCCGGGCCGACTATGGCCGGGGGGCGACAGTGGCCGGGCCCGGCCGCTGAGAGGCTAGCCGGGTCGTTCAACGAGGGCCACTGTGAGCGGCCAAACTTCCTCGGAGGCCCGCGTCGGCACTGGGCCTTCTCACTCCGGGCTGCGGAAAGTGTCAGTGTTGTGGCCGCCCCACCGTGGCACGGTTCAGCGTGCTGCCGCCCCCGTCCCACGGACTCAGGAACTGTTTTTTGCGGGCCACTGAAGGCCAGGCCCGAGGCTTCAGTCGGAGTCTCAGTCACCCGGAACCCGGCCCCCCGGGTTTACTCTCCGTACTCCGCCAATGGTGAGGCGGGCATGCAGTACTTTGACTGCGAAGCGACGCCGATGACAGAGATCAGGCGATGATGGAAGAAACTTCGGACTCGGAGGAGGAAGAGAGGGAGGAGAGGGAGGTGAGGGAGGAGAGGAAGGAGAGGGAGGAGAGGAAGGAGGACTGATAGGAAGAGGGAGAGGAAGGGGGAGGGGGAGGGAAGAACAGAGATAGAGATGGAGAGTACCAGCAAGATATCAGTCATGTTCAGTAAGACCTGGAGACAGAGAGGGAGGAGGAAGGCAGGTAGAGAAGATGTGAGCCGGACAGGAGGCTGTCAAAATTCTTGGCAATGAGATGAATCCTAGAAGCAATCATAGTTTTTGTGCTTGCAGCTTCTTCTCTTCTACCCCATCCTAACGATGAGCAAGTTGTTCTCAGCATGATTGTCGACATTCACCCGCCATGCGCGGCGTGAGAGCGTCTGTAGGTCTCTTGGATGCCTCTGTGACGCTGCAGCATGATTCTGTGATCAAGGAGCGAACACTTTGCCTTCCGGTGCACTCCCGCTCCGAGCCCAACCCTGAAAGAATGAGGAGACTTTCTCCCTTCAACCGCCATGCGCGTGTCAGAGCGTCTTGGCCGTGGATCGGTGTACTCATCTTCCTACAATGTGAGTGTTTGTGCATGCCAACTGCTCTTTCGTTCATGTTGTAACTGGAGATCCTCCAGTCTGCGACCCGGTAGACTCCTGGCATGCGTTCGCCGATTCAGAAGTCGTTCCCACCATCCCAGGTCGCTTCCTTGTGCCGAGGGTCCGTTGACCGCTAATGGCTCACCGCAGGAACGAACCTCGTCACCGATCTGCAGCTCCCGACCATGAGCAGTGACAGCGGTCTGGACATCTTTGACAGCTGCAGCATCCTCAAGACGTCTGTGGGGAAGGTGAACATCTTCTGCAGTGGTGCCGTCGACATCAACTGTGCAAGAGCATGGAATTCGGCCATCAGGGACTCACGGGGTCTGTTCTACTCCTCCTGCATCTGTATGCTTCCTTGCTGACTGTCACCACCAGACGTTGTCAACCGCTTGTGCAGCTTTCAAGTTCTCACGACATCCTTCGGCACCAGCTCCTCTCAGCCTTTCGACCAGTCCTCCTTCTTGAACTTGATCCGCCTCTGCCAATCCACCGTCTCCGCTGCATTCGCTGATTACTGCAATGCGGGTACGTTGCTGTTGTTGCATCCCTCCCTTCTACTGATTGTGAACATCCCGGCAGGCGGCGAGCTGACCTGCTCTGGGACATGCCCCTGCTCTCCTTCAGTCGGGGTTTCGTCGGGTTCGATCACAACCGGGCCGTACTTCTACTCCAACAACCAGAACTGCGTCTGGATGATCTCAGGGCAGAACTTGCGATTGCGCTTCACGTCCCTCGGCACTGAGCTGAATCATGACTTTGTCGAGATCTTCTCTTGCTCTGACCCTGCCTGCTCTGCTCCCCAGAGCATCCTGCGGACCTCTGGATCGACCCTCCCTTCAGACGAGCTGGGGTCCAGCACAGGCTACATGAAAGTCACCTTCACCTCCGACGGCTACAAGACAGGCCCTGGTTTCTCAGCTGACTGGACCGTTGACAACGGTGAAATCCTTATCCGCCCCCCTGCCTCCGTCTGCTCAAACTTTCGCGCCTCCAACGGGGTCTACGACTATCCCGTGCTCACCTGGCGCACCTTCAAGGCCTATCAGGACCGGGGCCTTGGCTGCATGGGAGGGCTCAGCGGTCGGCACTCCATTGAGCACGACACGTGGGCGTGCATCCTACCGCAGTCCTGCGCGTCCGACATTCCTCTTGGAAGTTCGGTGTGCTTCAAGTACAACAGGGCGAGAGGAGAGTTCAACTGGTGGAACAGCTCTGCCTTCCCGTCTCAGGGCGCTATGATCGAGGCCACCTTTTGCAGCCCCCGCGGTCTCAGCCTCGTCTACGATGCCATCACCGGGTACGTTTGCGGCTCGCTGCATGGTGGAGGAGGAGGCTCCTGACTGATGATACTGCAGCGTGCGGATCGACCTCAAGCATGTAGTCTATCGCTTCAGGTTGCAGGATGCCAAGGATCGGGTCGTGCACGACATCGGCGGCTCCGCTGCAGGACTGAAGCCCAACGGCTGCGGTCGATTCTACCTCTGGCCCAACTCCAAGTACGAGCTGGAGGTGCAGGTGGGGGAGGAGTACTACAGCTGGAAGGGGCCCTTTGTCACGTTTGACAACGTGGCCTACGTCGGGGCCCCGCTGGTGCCGGTCCAGAAGGATTTCACAGCTGTCATCCTGACTCTGACCTGGTGCTCGAGGGATGCTGAGGACCTGAGCCTCTTCCTATACCCCCCTAGCTCCGACTTCTCCGACCCCTTGCAGTCCGCAATCGATGGGAACAACAGGACGGTGGCTGGGCAGGTGCTGGAGTCGGGCACCGCGTACCCTTACGAGCTCTCGAGCTTCTGGTGGATCAGGGATGGATGTTTCGACACATTCTGTGGATCGAAGACCTTCCTCGTCACAGGGCTGCTTCCTGCCGGAAACTACTCCTTCCTCGCCTACCATACTTCCGGCCTGACCTTTCCTTCCGCCTGCTCCGTAGCCTCCCTGTACTCTACCATGCGGCAGGGCCTCGTGGGCACAGCCTGGGTAGGCGAGCAGGGAACGCTGGGGAGCTGGTGGCACCTTTTCAACTTTCAGACTCTGCGCAGAGGAAGCGTGAGCGACGTTGTGGTGCGGGTGAACTACAGCCTCGTCAACGAGATGATCTACCCTGGGCCAGTGCTGGGCAGCGATGGGAAGTTCGCAGGTAAGTTTCCGTTCGATCCTCGCTCCATCCCCAGCAAGTTTGTCATCGACTTCGTGGAGTTGGACGCAAACAGGACGGGGGCAATCTCAACGAAAGGTTGCCTGGGGAGGACAGACCTTTGCAACCTCCCGCTGACAGCAGAACATGCTTTCTCCTCCTCTGTGGACGCAAACCTGAACGGGAGGATATCCCTGGAGGAGTGGAATGCTTACCAGCAGCTCGTTAACAACTTCATCCTGTACGAGTACTCGTTCGCTCTCTCTCAGTGCCAGGGGATGCTCTTGAACTTGACCATTCTCAGCGCCACCAACAACTCTGTCATCCCATCGCCGTACCTCTGCCAGGACGACAGCGGCTGGATCGATCGCGAGGGTTCCTCCTGCCTCTCCTACACTCTCCAGCCAGCGAGGTGCCTGCTTGCCACCAACCTCTCCAGTCTGGACGGCTCGTCAGCTTCTCAGCGCTGCTGTGTGTGCGGAGGAGGACTGTTCGGCAGATGCCAGGAGGACGGAGGATGGAGAGATTCGGCGGGGAGGTCGTGCGTGGACTACTTTCACAACCTCGCCCTCTGTTCGCAAGCTGCGTCCTTTGCCAACGGCAACGTCGACGCCGCCGACATGTGCTGCTCCTGCGGAGGAGGATCGCAAGTTCAGAGTGACAGCCAGGCCATCATGCTCAGCAGCAGGCGGCTGAGGTCGGACGCTGCTGGGAGGTACCTGGGCGGGCTCTTCCTGCTGGGCAGGGACAACGTACTTGATATCCGAGCACCAGGGTACATGAGGGTGGTAGAGCAGGTGAACATGGGGGCTCGAGGCTGTGTGTTCAACTTCGCCACCTTCCTCCTCCCGAGCACGGGCAAGACGTTTGCGAAGCTCCGTTGGGGCGACAGGCCGGCGGATCTTGACATCTACGTGTTCCCTCGCAACGTCCGCAACCTTCAGGGGGAGCCGGTGGTGTGGAGGACGGACGATGGGAAGCTTGCCAAGACTGACTATGTCTGGTGGGGATTGTGCTTATGCGACACCTGCACCTGCGACAAGAGGACGCTGCTGGGGTACAACAGCGGGGACCTGGTGCCGACCGTAGCGCTGGACAGGGATGACGTCTCGCACGGCAAGAAGAAATTCTTCTCCTCCGACCCCTCGGACTTCATCGTAGAGAACGGGCCCGAGGTCGTCGAGTTCGATCGGCTGCTTCCCGGCTCCTACATGATCTTCATCAACGCGTACGCCCCCGAGGATGCGACGCCCACGTTCCAGGGTGGCGTCAGCGTCGAGATCTACCTGAGCGACGGCGCCAGCCCTCCTGACCTGGTAGACGTGGTGAGGTACGAAGGCACCGGACACAAGTGGTTCTTTGCGGGAACTCTGGAGGTCTACGTGGACAATGTCTGCGCGTCCTCCAACCCCACCAAGAAGCAGGCCGATGGCTCGGGCAGGTGCTACGAGTGGGTGCGAGCTGGGGTGATAGCTGGGTTTTACATCCAGAGCGTGTTCAACACGCTGAAAGGGGAGCACATCGAGTCCTCGACATCGTTCAAAGTCGACAAGCTGCCCTCGTCCTCCCCCGTCGTCTCCTCCGTCTTCCATGATATCCAGAGCATCCTGACCCCTGTCAAGTTCTCTGCCTCGGGCTTCATGTCCACAGTTGTCAACGTCTCCCTGCTGCAGATGAGCTGGCCTGTCAACCTGACCGTCTACATGTTCCAAGACGACGGAGCCTCCAAGGTCGTGCTGAACTGGGGCGATCGCCCAGCAGACCTTGACCTGTACGTCGTTCCCTCAGCCGTGGTGGACGGGAACGGGAACGTGATCCAGTGGAGCAACAGCGAGTCGAGAGGAACGCCGTACGTGTCTTGGTACGGTAAGAAGATCACTGGGGTAGTGGCGGCAGGCAAGCGAACTCCAGTGATCACTCTCGATCGAGATGACCAGTTCCACGGTGACCGCTCCCGGCCACTCTACAACGGGCCGGAGACGGCCTCCCTAGTCCAGCTGCTGCCGGGCAGGTACGACGTCTTTGTCAACGCGTACAGCCCCGACGAGCCAACGCCAACGTTGATGGGAGGGGCGCGAGTCGACGTCTACCTGTCTGACACGAAAACGCCTGCCACCCTGGTTGCGTCTGTCTACATCGACCAGCAGTACGGCAAGTGGGCACATGCTGGGTACGTGCTAGTCACGGAAGGGAGCTGTACGATGCCGGCGAGCAAACAGCAGGCGGACGCGTCGGGCCTCTGCTACTCGTGGATCAGTGACGCTCCTGCCGTCGCCAACTTCTCGCAGAGGCTGGTCCAGACCGTCTCCGTGCGCAGCGCGGTGGACAGCTCACTGCTCTCCTCCTCCTTCTCCATCGATGGAGGACCCCAGCAGCCAGTCAGCACGCGGACATTTGCGGTGGACGGGGGGGCGCACATCATCACGTACTCGTCAGCTGGATACCTGCCCGCAAACTTCTCGGTGAACCTGACGGGGCTGGCGTTCGAGAAAGTTTGGGTCTATGGAGTATCTGTGTTCCTGGTACCTGACGATGGGATGAGCAAGATAGTGCTGAGGTGAGGAGGAGGAAGATGATGGTCAAAGAGGAGGGGGGAGAGGAGGGGGGAAGAGGAGGAGGAGGAGGAGCGGTGGAGGGAGGAGGGAGGGAGGAGGTTGAGGAGGATGAGGAGTGGAGGAGT